ATAGCCGGAAACTCCCAAAATTTGTATAAATGTATCACATGATGAAAAAAGCACAATGTTATTTACGGATGAACAAAGTTGACCTTTCAACTAAGCATTAACCCCCAAAAATAAAATAAAGGAAAAGGTATATGGCTCTGCCTCAAATTTGAAAAATTGCAGGAAGTAGTACTTTTTGTATTCGTCAATACATTTTGGAAGCAGAAGATTCCAACCAAAAATAGGGCATCGAGCTGAAGTATCCGAAATCGTGGCAACGCATTCGACTGGAATTTCGTTGCAAAAATTCAAGCATGATGACGTCTTTGAAATATGAAGGCATACCAAATTTCAGAGCTCTAGCCCAAACAATTGAGAAGATACGGAGTTCCTAAACTTCGCTCTCAAGGGGAAAAGTCACGCTAAAGGTTAAGCAGCTATCCTTGGCCATAGTCAAGCCAGGAAGAAAAATGTTGGATTCAAATGAAAACTGAGAATAAGCTTAATCAGATTTACTTTTTAATACAGTGACACGGTAAGAAAAGGATCTCCCGCTAAGTTCAAATTAAACTTAGCATGGACCTGCAAAAATGATCATCTCAAAAATACCATGAAACGATTAATGGCTTTGCTACTAATTTCCATAATTACATAGAAGTAATATTTCCTCCATTCTTTTATAAAGTTATTAATCAGAAAATCCCTGCCACATGAGGCATTCGGACTCAAGTAATCGAAATCGTTGCTGCGTGTGCAACAGGGATGTTGATGCATATTTCAAGCTGGATGACCTTTCTGAGACATAGCATTCCAAGTTTCAGAGCTATTGCCCAGATGGTTTGGAAGATATTGAAATGCAGAGGTTCCTCTGTGTGTGAAAAGTCACCACAATGACCAAACGGCTACTACAGGCCTTTATTGATATTGAATGGAGTTCGACAATGGAACATGTCTCTTAAGAAGAGTAGACCAATATCGTGAATCAATTTCCCAGGTGCAGACTATTGTAAAATGTACAAATCTGGAGGAAATTATTTAAAAACTATTTGGTACTGAATCCTAAGCTATGGAATATTATTGGGCAGTCGTATTCCTAACTATTTCGCACCATTAGTCGAATACATCTGACGATATTGTTTTGTACCCCTAAAGTGGCGTGGAATGGTCACACCAATTGTAATTATACATGCAATTCCAAATGCTGAACCACATCAGAAAATTTTACTGTCAACTTCATAAAGTATTGGTATGACTCAGACATTTTATTCGAGCTTCAACCTGTAAAAAAAAGCCGGTCCTGCTTGAAATCAGGGTAACACTATGTTCAGACTGTAAGGTTAGTCGGGGAAGATACCAGTGGGGAGAAGATGCCACATGTAGTGTAATTCCATAATTTATTAGTAGTGGGCGGCAAAGACAACAAACATCGGTAGAACACGCCTGGCTGTTGATTCTGTAAGTGTTCCAGCAACGTGCGTGCATTTTTGGTAAGTAAAACAAATTTCCTCTAAGTACCCTTTTTGTACAGGTGAGACATCATATTAGGATGTTTTTGCATAGGCACTCATAGGTAAATGGTTAATAAAAACAAAATTATTGCTACCTGAAAACATAAACCGGGCCATAGTAGGTAGGCTGGTGAGTTTTGTAGGGAATGTCATGTTCCTTAACCATAGAACTTATTCTAGAATGAAATGCAGGGTTGTGGGGGAGGATGCCATTCTGTGACATCTTCCGCCAACTATATTATAACCCTTTCTTGTGTCTCTTTTAGTAAGGGTGGAGAATACATTTTGAAATACTTCCCTTCAATAATCTACGTTAAGGAGACATATTTCAAAAGCAGGATTTTTCCAGTACTCAGCCATTAAACAGGAAATTCTGAGGGAGGTTTACATTTTCTGTATCTGTTTCGTTGGCTAAAAAAAAAGTTCAGGATAATGGGACTTAAAAAGAGAGCCCTGATGGATTTTAACGAAATAAATTGTTTCTTCTGAAATGGAGACTCAGGGAACTCCATGCCACCCAGTTTCAGCTGTATACGTTTCCCCATTTTGAATTAGCGTCAGTCTGTCACGATCGTCTATATATTTTAGAAAGTGGACTTTTTTCTTTCCACAGGTGTCCATCAGGTACTAATTTGCCAAGTTTTTTTTAACTTTCATGCGCCCTCTGCTTTGCTGGACCAGAAAATTCTTGAAAATACGCCTTTGCAAAATGTGCCCTGAGCCGTTTTAAACAAAACGTACCATTTTTTTCTTACCGAAATCCATCCTCAGTGAACTACATGCCCACAACCTTTCAATATTATACGTTTGCCTATTTCCATGGTGAAAAAAAAATTGGAAAAGCCGACCCATTCAAAAGCTATGCCTGGACGGAATGCACCATAAAATATGAATGCTCCCTCAGCGCAGTAATCATGTTACTTATACGTGTGCCAAGTTTCACCTTTCCATTTCTGTCCAATTCGCCACGACCAATTTTTTTCTCCGAAACATTGCCCCTCGAAATAATTCCCCCAGTGGATATATGGAGCCTTAACAGTTTGACTTAACTCCTTCTTTCGGTAGTGCAATATTTCATGCAATGTTTCGGCTTTATATGTTCATCGGTTTAACTACTGCAAAAAAATAAATTGAAAACATATCCCCTTGAAATTTGTGCCCCCAGGGTATTTACTCCCAAAGTCTGACGTTTTCTGCAGCATCCTAATAGGTAGTTATGAACCAAGTTGCATCTTTCTACACCAGCTCATTACGCCAGGACAAAAAAATTCCTGAAAACGTCGGCACCTCAAAATATTCCCACAGGGCATGGATCTAAATTTTTACATTTTTCCTGAACTCATCGTCTCGGTAGGCACGTCCATGCCAAGTTTCAGCTTCCCATGTCTCTCAGTTTTACTCAAGCAAAAATAATGTTATGGAGGGGGAATGAGTAACGGGACATGGAAGACAAAAAAAACCAAAAGACAGCCAAGGAATGGACGGAAATTGAACCCGAATCTTCTGATTGCCAGTCAGATATGCTACTATTACACCACCGAACCCGGCACAACCTGCTGATTCTCCAAATGCCATCCTCATCTGTCACAAAATATATTTAAGAAAGACGTTTCCCCCCAAAATGTATACCCCTAGAGCATGTACCTTCGAAGTCAGATTTTTTCTGAACTCTACATCCCAAAAGGTACATGTGTACCAAGTTTGAGATTTCTAACCCTTCTAGAACATGGTTGGAATTAGCGTCAGTCAGTCAGTCACCATCGTTTATATATACTAGATAATGTCAGCATTAGTCATAGGCATATTGATGTGTATAATACAGGGTGCGGCAAACGTTCTGTAACAATAATATTTTCATGATGTGTCATCAAAAGCAATTCCATTTGAAGTTGCATTGTTTCATGATTGTAATATTTTTTTCAAGTGGTCTTTCTCGAGCATTTGTCTATTTTCTGAAAAATTGTTTTACTTTATTCTCTTTTCTTAAGATTTCTAAATAAGATCAGCAAGTCACAATAATTTTGCCCAAGGGGCAAAAACCACGTTGAAATTGCACATTTTCTTGAGATTGAAAGAAAAAGTGTATGGCGAGCTGTCGTTCGGTTTCAAGAGCGGAGTACTGCTGAAGACCAACAAATATCTGACCGTCCAAGAACCGCTAACATTCAAAAGAACAAGGAAGCCATCCAATCTCTGGTCAAAATAAACCCAAGAGTTTCAATGAGGAAGATGGCCAGAGAACTGAAGAACGACAAAAGAAATGTGCGCCGTATCGTCAAGGACGAACTCCACCTTCGCCCTTATAAGAAGCAGAAGGCCAAAATATTGACGAAGAAAATGATGGAACAACGACTTTACAAAGGAACATTATTGAAACGCCGAATCGCAAATGGCCACCGCAGAATAGTTCTCTTTTCGGATGAGAAACTTCTCACGAAAGAGGAAGTATTCAACCTACAAAATGTTCGTGTCATTCTGAAGAATCGCTCAGCAAGCAATATCGACCGTCGAATCATCCAAAGTCAGGAAGCTCCACCTTCGGTCATGGTGTGGGGGGAATTTGCGCTACCGAAAAGACTTCACTGGTCTTCATTCAGAGATGCCTCAAAATCTACGCTCAAGTTTACATGCAGACTGTCTTGGAGAAAATCCTCGTTCCGTGGATTCAACATTTTGGAAAACGTGAATGGAATTTCAACAGGACTCTGATATACCGTACAAAGCCAAAATCGCCCAAATGTTTCTCCGAAAAAATAGTCCGAGATTCATCACCCCGGATGAATGCACGGCCAACTCGCCCGACCTGAACCCAATAACTATTCCGTTTGTGAATGCTGCAGTAAGAAGTTTGCTCAAAAGCTCACAATACTGCGGACTCTTTGAAGCGCGATCTGCTCTGTGCTTGGGAGGAAAAAGATGAAACGAAGTTCCGCGCCGTCGTCGACCAGTTTCCTCGTCATTTAAACGCTCTAATTGAAGCCAATGGCGGTAATTTTGAAAATAATATTCAAAGCAGAATTCTGATATGACTCATTTATCACATTATTCCTTCAGCCGGTAAATTCTCGTTTCGTTTCCCTTAAAGCATTTTAGAGCAAAAATGCTCCAGAGAAAAGAAGAAAGACTCGATTCCAGAATTTTAGCCGCACTCTTTTTATCTGTGAATAATGTAATATATGCAAATATACATTGTAGTACCTGTCATGAATGCAATACTACAGTTAGGTTAATTTAGCTACATAAAATGCCTGGAAATTACAAATGAAAGCTTCAAAAACATTTAACATACCGTACAAAGCACTGAAAATATGGATTACACAAAATATTATTGTGAAAGGGGTACCAGGTCCTTTGGGTTGCCTGGGTCCTGAGCATGAACGGTCCGTAGCCTCCATTCAGCAACTTGAGAAAGTGTGCCGTTGGCCAAAAACCATTTGGAAATAGTGGCTAAATATACGTATATTTTTTCCTTAATACTGGATGGCCCGAAAGTTCCTTGACTCAATTTTTTAAATGCCAATTAAAAATTCGAATTTCTACGCGAACAAAAAATATTCCGTCCGCAGGAGGTGTACATTCTCTGGAACTAATATTTTGCGGCTTGCGTTTCTACGTACAGGCGTACCGGAATGCAAGTTGAGCCAGAAGGGAGGGGAGTACGTGGGTGTGAAGGACAGGACCATTTCAGGCTTCGCTTGCGTACCCTGGCTAGATCCGGAAGGAAATGAGGGGGACATTGTGAAAGGGGTCCGTGAAGGGTCGTTCCCAGATGAAATCACAGACAGCCACAATTTCTGTCGCAACCCGAACGGGAACCCAGGTGGTCCTTGGTGCAACGTCAATGATTCCCGAAAGCCGAACCTGAAGTGGGAGTACTGTGATGTCCCTTTCTGCGATTTTGGCGATTGGGCGAAATCTGAATCTGAAAGCGAATCTGGAGACCAATATGTGTCAAGTGAGTTAGTACAATATATACGGACAAGTTGTTGGTGGCCGCCAGTGCGGTCTTATACATAGTAATACAGTATATGCTTTTATTCACGGATCAACTCCTAAGGACGGTCTTACCCAATTTTCAGCCCCAAAATGTTATCTGCAGGTCATGATTGAACAGATTTGCATCAGATACTGAGGTACAGCGCGCTACGCCTGGCAGTATGCAAAAATAACCAAAAACGACTTGTGTAAACAACTAATAGTAATAAAGAGAGTAGCTCGCACAATATCATTAGGTTTCAACTGCCGCTGTTTGCCCTGCTACGCATTTGCATCCTATATGACACACTCTTTTATATGCAACGATTCCATTCCCCAGTGTTCGATGAGGCCAAATTCATGCGCTGCACCTCACAATGTAGATAAGCGTAGACCGTTTCTAGTTCGGAGAGGATCGTATGAAGTTGCATCAGCAACGATCAGCAACAACGATCAGCAAATTCTCTCGCACGAAATTTCGTGAGAAACAGCAATGATGTTGTTCCCGTCAGTAATGGGCCGTGCTTTTTGGTGTGTTTACGATTCAACTAGACCTAACTGGTTACCGTTATTTGAACTGCTTCACCGGCACCGTTAACGTCGAGTTAAACTAACGCTGATTGCTGATTTTGATGTAGCCAAGGAACGAAACGAGAAGGTTGTAGTCTGGTCGTAGCCTAATGATAGAATTCGCAGATATTTTGAAGCAGTTTGGACTATTACGGCGGAATGCCGACAACCACTGCACCAAAGAAAAGAAACGAATTTGTGATGTAATGCCTGAAAATTTCGCAAAAATTGCGATCGTTTGCATCTTCCCCCATTGACCTAATACTTTAATTCGCAAGAGGTCAAAAGTTGTGGTGGTGGTGATTGTCCTGGCTGTCACCCCCAACGCGTGGGCCTACTGTGTAATGCCATTCTGGGTTATAGGACAGGCCATCCAGGGCCGAAAGCGCCAAGCCTACAAAGCTATGCCTTTCCAGGCCATCTTATACTTAAATTCAAAGAGCCCGAGAGTTGTGGTGGTGGTTGTCACCCCATCCATCCCCAGCTCATCCTATTATTTCCATAGGTTTCATACTTAGCTGTGTCAATCAAAGAGTGCCACATTTTCACTGATCGACTGTTAGTTCTCAATTTGAATACATTCTTTGCTGAAGTATTTTTTCTGCATGTATTTTGTTTCGTTAGGTCAGGCGTGGCAGTTCGGGCCATCGCTTCCATGCAACAGTTTTCTATTTGCGTTTCATGTCAGGGCCGATTTATTTGAGTTCTCACGATTGATGAAATAAAAAATAACGTAAGTTCTTTGTTTTATACATAGCGCAAACGGGTCGCTCCTCCTATTAAAATTGTGGCGATTTTTGCTAGGTTAGGTTGAACGTGAAAAAAAATCGAAGCAGGTCCCACAGGACGGCGCTGAGACAGTCGCTGCAGATAATAAACGATTGGTACTGGCGCGGAAACAACGTTGTTTGCAATAGCGGTGTAGAAGTGCCTAAATCGGTGCTTTAGGAGATGCTAGCCATTAAGGCTAGAATGAGTGATGAAAAGCACCCACTTGCACGTAGGGAGCGTAAGGCTCCTCAGACCGCTGAACAGCAAGAGGCAGTGAATGCTGAGCTGAAGAATAAAAGAGCCATGTAGCCTGCTGGGCAACAAGGAACGCAGCACTCAGGTGTCGAAAGCCGGGTGGGGGGGGCGGGAATTGAACCCGGTCCTCCTGCTTGCCGGTTAGGTGTGCTACCATTGCACTACGGAACTCGGGATGTCATGCCTCTCCGTGTCATCTCAATCATTACAGTTTGTCGCAGCGAGCATTGTCGGGCTGTACATTTTGATTAGGGAGGAGGCATTTGTTTCCCAACGGAAAAATGCTCCTGCTGCAACTCACACTTTAGCACCAGTGAGCAACACTTTCAGAGCCTCATGGTAATGTGGAGGCGAGGCATTTTTTGGAATTAGTCGCTAGCATTGTGCCACGCGTGCACTAATTCCCTTTGTTCCTTCGAACAACTTCGTGGAAATGATCAGTACTGTTTCAGAATCATTGGTGTTTGCACCATATGCTAACGTTAATAGCCCATGAGTTAATCAGTGATGCAAGGGTATTGAATGTGCTTTGAAAGACGAAATCAGCAAAGTCGTTTTGAGTCTTATGAAAACGTGATGAACCGTTCACAATGAACAATCAGCCGGAATATAATGATGATGGTGTTTAGGAACAGAATCTCTAAAAAAATGTAATGAAGCTGTTCAGTTCCGAATGGGTAATGTGATGGACATAGGATTGTCAAGGAGACGTTATGCTCACAATAGACGATTCAAATTTCCACCTATTAGACGGCGAGCGTTGCGGCCGCGGGCCGCTGGTATATTCTATTTTATTCATGTTCTGCAGTATGATTCGTGAATTATTAGGTGTATTCTAGAGGCTATGTTTCACCTAAAAGAGGAAAACGTTATAAGTCACTGTTTCATTTGACATATGGTAAATGGCACAGTGATTACACGACGTTTACATTATTTTTACAACACTTTTACATTCACCACCCAAATTGATTGTCATTCTATCGTAGTCGAAGATGTGATGCAACCCAAATACGACGAATGCCGGTTTACGAAGATGGGGAAGGAATACACAGGCGAAGAGTTCAAGACGGAAACAGGGAAGGAATGTATTTCCTGGGCAGATGTGGTGCACAAAGGCTTTCCGTTAACAAATTTCATATTCTCTCACCTATCATTCCAAGATCGCCAGCTCCCAAGACCGCCTAAGATCGAGGATTTCTTGTATAATTGGATTGGATTAACTTCAGCTTCAAGGAATACATCCAGCTCCAATGTCTGCCGTAATTACGGCTCGAAGGAGCGGCCCTGGTGCTTCGTCTCTTTTGAAAATCCCTCCTGGGAGTATTGTGACATCCCGTTCTGCCGTGGAGCGAAAGGTTTGCAATTATTTCATCTTGAGGCCTCTTAATCTTTTGACATGCATATTGCAATATATCTATTCCTGTCTCTCCAAATTTTACTATCCTCACATTAACCTATTGTGTTGTAAGGGATCATGTAATACAGATAATGTAGATAATCACCGGCAATTTCGATAAGTTCTCGCTTGAGAAGCACAATTGCTTGAGAATAAGTTTTAAATTGAGGTCAACTGCCTCGAATACCTTTTCGCGTGTCTAGAAATTGTGAAGGAAGAGGAGGTATATTCTCAAATGTTAATCCTTTGTTGCATTGCATCAACGTCTGTTGACTCTATCTTGAATCCTTTTCCTGCATATTCTATCGAACATTTTCCTGGACATCATGTCCATTTCTTCCGAAATCTCGAAACATAGCCTAAAGAAAATCTTACATACACACTCATCAACCTATGAAATATTTCCCTGGAAACAGAGCACCACCAATGAGAGAAAATTTTTACATTAAATAATATCATGTGGTACTGAATAGCTTAACCATAATCCCTCTTACCAGAGCCTCCATACACGTATTACCTAGAGGGATTCCGTGGAAAGATTGCCCATTCAATGATTTTGTCATTTGTTTATTCATTAAACAGGTAAACATTACAACTTTGACTACTTCCATATAATCAACTTAGTATTTCGCTGATTCCTTCACCATATAGAGCCAGCGGAATGCAAACAAACGGATGATGGACGAGAGTACATAGGAAGGAAGAACGTGACACAGTCGGGGAAAAAGTGCCAACCTTGGCTGAGCCAAACGCCAAATGAACATTCGACAGTATTGTACCTGCCGGCATTTCCCGATCCTGACATGGACAGCTATCACAACTACTGTCGCAATCCGGATTTAAAGAAGTTGGGTCCCTGGTGTTACAACGGGGAGGGCACAGATCCTGAATGGGAATATTGCGACATTCAGCATTGTTAGATATGAACTGGAAAGGTGACGTGGTAGTTGTGAATGTGGGTGTGCTCAAGTTTTATGTAGAACAATAGTGTTTCTTGGACGCTAGTCTAACCCGTTTAGGCAATTAAGTAGATATTTACAACATTGTCAGTGTTTCACCGTTTCTTAAGTGCTTTCTTCTCCTAGCAGTTACGGGAATGTTTTTCATGTGCTCCTCTTTTCCACCTCAAAAGAAATATTTCGTTCGTTTCTGGCCCATTTTCTGGTTTTCTTACACGTCGGTGTTTGTAGGGCTTTCTGCAAAATATTTAGAAGAGAGTCCATCCGTTAATTTATGTGTGTATGCACAGTCCAGATAGTTTACTGAAAGTTGACGAACATTTTTCAGTGCACGTGTTTTCACCATTATACGCTTTTCCATGAAAACAAAAAACAATATATTGGTCAAGTGTTATGAATCAGGTATTTAATCTAGTAAGGAAATAATAATATATTTCAACGTTGTAATGTTGCATCTGTCTAGATTATGGAATTATGGTAATTCTGACGTGACGTGAAATTAATTATTAGAATCAGAACGACTATCGTGTTCGAGGTTTAGTTGATTTGACTCGTGAAATATTAAACATAAGATGACTTCATTATGTCAACCAGCTTGGAAATTGACCCATAATAACAAGAACCTGAATATCGATTTTGAACAAATATGGAACTCTATTCCTTTAAATGACCACTAGGTAGTAGATACTATATGAACAGTACAAGAATAAGAATCATAATGGGGGGAGGGTGAGAAACGAACTCGTCACCATCGTCAATGAAGATTTCAAAGATTCACGGAATACCCAACGTCTTATTCGGAACTTCTGCCCACTATCCGTTAATCAGACTTCTTATCGGACTCATTGACTTGGCCCCCACGACTCACAGGGGTGTTGTTCTTGTTCTCCCTACCTACGAGGTGGGACAACCACAAAGATCCACAGAGTTTTACAAACAATGCATGTCTACATGACTCTCCCACGTGGCCCTTTCATTTCGTTATGTCGAACATGCGCATCATCTTTTCCTATGATTTCTTCCTCATTATAAGAAGTATTGCATACAAGACATCACTATATTACGAGTCTTGTGAATCCCTTCGATGTGCATTTGCACTAGCGTGATTAACATTTGCTATTTAGAGATACTTTCGTCCTCGTGTTGCTCTTTTGCAGGGCAGTCTGCGGTGAATATGAAACTATTGATCATTTTCTTCCCCAGAGCAGCAGTCATATGATCCATTGATTTTAACGATAATGTGAGACTGTTTTGGTGCGCGTGGTGATCACTATCATACCTTATGCAAAACTAGATGAAAAAACCTTGGGTAACTTTTGCACCAATTTGTAGGCCTGCTTGGCGCAAGGAATGTGCTTGTGCTCCTGAATATGAACCCATCTCATATTTCCAATTGTTATTTGTTATTTTCTCCACCGCTTGTCTCATTCCTTTACCTTGTATACTTTTTGGAACGTAAAGTTGATGACAGGCTATTCCCATTCTTGGGAAAATCTTTTCAAGTGGGCCCAGTACAAAGTTCAAGGTCCAACATGTAATGTAAATGGGAAAACTCCGTACTGAAGTTAGGATTCAGTTTGATCCCCTTCGTAATAGTTACCTTGACTTACGAAGGGCTTGCAGCTTTTTCCTTCTAGCTTGTCGATGTCCTTCCACTGCGTTTTTCATCTACATTCAATTTTTGCCGTTTACGGAATCGTTAGTTTCATTCACATACGAACATTTTGATTAGGACGAAACTTTGCAGGCCCTTCCTTAGTTTGTCCGCAGTGACTGCAGGTTATAAAACTATCACTCACTGTGTGATTTTGAACATATGGGTGCGAGACATTCTTCAAATGTCCTACATACTCACTAGACTTCGCGCTATTTTCCAGAATGAGGTGTCCTGTTTAATGCTGCCTCTTTAAGGACACAAACGCTCTCTAGTCAAATTTGACCAATGCGTTGAAGGAGATAACCAATAAATAATTACAACGATTGAAAGGTCTTTGCAGACGTTGGAAGAAGTGTTTTGCAATTCAAGGTAAACATGACTAAGGGGATGACACTGTAGCGTAACTCCTGTACATAATTCGCTAAAATGTAAACCGGTGCTGTAAGTTTTTCATAGGCCCACGTGTGCACGTACCTTTTAAAGATGCGTAAGCATTCCCTCCCTCAGTAAGCGAAGAAGTTTGTCATTCCCTTGGGGCTATCTTGCACTCATCTTGATGGACGTTATCACTTGCTTCTGAATCGTGTGAATCCCTTTGGTGTATTATTGCATTAGGGTGTTACGCATTATAAACTCTAAAATATATTCGGCCCCTTTGGATTCCATATGCGAAAATATATACAGTGTGATTGAAAAGCCACTTCCATGTTTTGTGTCTTACATATGGTACCAATTGATTCGTTAGCTTCTCTTGAGCAATTTCGTGAAGTATAAGTTTGGAAGCCCAAGTATTGATTTTAAAAAAACCCTTACGGTTTCCTATGGGAAAAACAGGGTTTCGTGAAGGTAGAAAAAAATTGCTTTGGATGCGCGATCGATATTTGATAGTTACAAGTTGTAGAAATGATTGCCAGCGCTTTTTCACCACCCCTACTTAAGTCGTGCAATCCCCATCTAGAGGTGAATTAAAGGGTGCTTAGAGGTTGATCATTCCACCCCATGAGAGGTGATTACCTGTGTGGGCCGTCACAGAATGTAATGCATTTTTCTACTTTAATTTTTCATAGGACTGTTGGATGCAGCTGATACTTATCAGAGATGTCCTCGAGTCTAAGTTTTTTTTTTCACTTCCGCAAGATGGCGCTGTACCCCCCTAGAGGGCGCTGTTGTTGACCGGATAATAGGGGGTGAGTTTAAAAAAAAAGGTGTAATGCTCAGGCTGTAAACTGTAACAGGACGATACATGACTCAGAAAATTGTCCAGGGATAAAAATACTATATTTGCAACATCTCCTGTATGTTCGATAACAATATTTTATAAATCCAATATATTTCATTCGAATACACGAATCGTCATTTCTCCCCTTTGGAAATGGCGGTGATTTTTTAATTACCCTCGGTCAACCGATCAACAGCAGCATCTTCTGTGGGAATACAGCGCCATCGTACGGAAGTGAAAAAAACATATTATACTCATGAACTTCTCTGTCATGTATCAACCGTCCCTTGAAAAGTTAAAGTTGAAAATTTCATTGAATTATGTGGGGTGGAATGATCCACCCTCTAAGCATCTTTAATTCACCTTTAAATGAGGGATTGCACAACTTACGCTGGGTTGCGTAAAAAAACTGACAATGATGTCTACACCTCGTAACTGTCAAGTATCGATCGCGTATCTAATACAATTTTGTTGCTATATTCATGTAACTGTGTTCCTCCCATAGAAAACGGTAGAGCGTTTTTTAAATCACAGCATATATTCTTAGAAAGAAACGGGAAGAAAAGAGGTAGGACGAACATAACTTTTCGTGGCTTTTACAAGGACATCAGAACGTTCATAATATAGAAAATATGATTGTAATAACACATGTTCGAAGTGACCATCATCTGCTTTAGCAATGGACATCATTTACCATATATAGGTTGAAATGGCACTGCAAACTTCATCACAACGTAGATACCAAGCCTTGTGGAGGGCGTTATGCTCAGTTCCAGGGAATGGTCGGAAGATGGAGAACAAACGATTTCTGAAACATTCACAACCAGTAGTCTGCAGGATTAAAATCTGGAGATCATAGGGGCAATGAAGTTCCACAATGGCTGCTTAGGTCACCCCGTGATATTGCAAACAATAGTTTTTGCCTCGTGAGGGGTATGTGAGGAGTGGAATCTTGACGGATGCTGATAAGATCCACGCAATGCATTGTTTGAACTTCCAAAATTTCAAGAGTTCAAAACGTGTCAGAGGCAGGGGTCATTGACGATCACAGTGTGGAATCAATCTGGGTCTAGTTCTTTAAAGATGTAGGGATCGATTTTTGAGTCTGCAAGGAAATCACACCTGTAAGTTTAGCATCACGCAATACTTCATGAGCAATTTTTTGGAGGGCGAGAAATTCAGGAAAATCAGCAGAACACGCCAAGGCTGCTAGTCGGCGTTGCCCCTGGAGGAACCTGGTGCAGGCTGCCGCTGGACATAACCAATTTATCTAATCAGCAGCCATAATTTCGACGTTTAATCGACTCTAATCTCCCTTCATTACCCTGTCACAATAAGTACCCTGCTCGCAATTTTTTTCTGCTGCCCTATTGGCCTACTACTGATATACTAATATACTAATATAATATACTCGTATAACCTTTAGAAGTTTCCCAGCCTGAGGGGCTGTTATACTAAATTAGTGCCCGTGCCAAGCGGCCACCCGCTTCCTCACTATGCAATTCAATAGGTCCGTTGTCGTTAATGTCCGCCGCATGTCCTGTCTTTAAAAGAAAAAAAGGAAAACAAAATAAAAATTTAGTTTTTGCCCCTGGAGCAACCTGGTGCAAGCTGCCGCTGGATGTAGCCGATTATCTACAGGGTTGTGCAAAATTTCCCGTACACCTTGAAAATGTAATTTTTTATTTAAGCAACAGATTTTTTGGCGATTCTGATGCTTCTTTCTTTAATTCTACGGACATTTTTGATACGAAATATTTTCATTATAATAACTTTCATTTGAACATTTGAATTCTCATTTGAACACTGATGCACATGAAAAGACTTATACTGAACTAACTTAAATTCTCCTTTAGTGAAGCATCTGCTGCGAAGGTTCTCCTCCAGTTGTGGGAAAGGATGTCATGAAGGTGGTGGTGCGTCAGGTGGTCACATTAATGAGATGCTCCCATTGTGAGCTACGCCTTTAGTTCTTCCAGCATTTTAATGATTTTAATAATTGAAATTCATAATATATTTTAATTTCATGAATCTGTCCTTGGGTACGAGGGCAACACGATCTTATTCTCTCATGCAAGTTCATAA